TAGACGCCAATTGTATGAATGTGTGAATGCAACGCTGTCTCACATTCATTTTCTGTTTTTCTTTTAACTTTCACAAAATTAGAGGTGATTTATATTTGTCTTATATGAATGTTTATAATGTCATTTTAAATTTATGATAACATTTCTTTATAACAAATACTCTACCTAACTGCCAATGTTTGTACTTAATAAGCGTTTTGTTATAAAATAAGTTACAGTCATTTAACAATTATTAATGAATCTTTGTAACTTGGTATATTCCTCGGCGCTGCTCGACTGGAAAACTTTAAAATAACGTTTAAAAGAGGAAAAAACATATATGTTTCTTGAACGTAACGTAAAAACAAGAAATATTTAAGATTTGTTACATATAAATATCGTCGTTGAGTAGGTGTGTATAAAGAGAAAGACACTGGAAAATCCTTTATTGCATTTTAAACTACAATACTGTAATGATATACATTGGAGATAATATAAGTAAAATTAGGCTTATTTCTAAAACACGACTTTTCAGTGAAATGAACATAGCCTCAAAACGTACCCAAATATAGATACACAGACGAAATTTTAAAAAATAAAACATATTATGAAATAAATCCCATTCAATGTAGGCTGGTAATAAGCATGATAACGATTTCAATAATATAAATGGAGGATCGAAACCTAATTTTCACGTCGAGCTACAAAATTTTATTTCTTATTGTGAATAAACTTATTATAGAATAGAATAATTCAGTTACAGGTCCACGGGAGAGACTTTCCAACGTTTTTTCAAAGGCCGAGAGAAATGTTTTCGCTTTGCTCATTCAATTACGGCCGCCTCACAATATTTGTATTTAAATTTTATTTTTCATTGTGCTCCTCCGCTGCTTTTATTTGCTTATTCAATTTACACTGTTTTGTATCTAAATATGAATCCATACTACTATTATCAAATATGCCTGTTTACCTTTTCACGACTAAAATTTCTAAATGGGTCTTAATGAAATTTCACGTGTAGATAAATTGTATGCCAAGGATGGACATAGACTATCTTTTCTATTCTATAAAAGAAGCAAACGAAGTATATTTGACTGGTATCGCATATGTGTACTTTTGCAGAAATTGAAATATCTTCCCCTTCCCTTGCTCACTTTAAATGTAAGCTATGCAGCCGCTCTGATGCTTATTTTTTCTTAACATCAATAGTATTGTCATTTATATCAATATTTCCAGAAGCACATTTGTTGCCATTTTCAAGAATATGTTTCTCCAACATACGAGCTACACCTAATAATTAGTTTTCGGCGTCATGGCAACACTTAATTTTCGTCAGTTGAACCTTCCACGTTTATCTAAGACGGGCACCGGGCATCGGCAATTTCCTTCAAATAGATTGGAAGTTAGACTGTTATTACTAACTTGACGGGGTCTGCCAGGTAACTAACGGATACGAATGTTAATACACCCTATAAATTAAATGGTCGCTCGTATGACGTCTCTCAACTGGCACCAGTTGCATCTATGTCTATTTTATATGTGCATTTCATTTCTGCCTAGCTAGAGTGGTGATGCTAATTACATCATTTTTCTATTTTTAAATCTGCTTTTCTGCGTCTGTTCTTTTTCTATACCATTCGTTATCTTATTGATTACTTTCATTACTTTTTTATTATCTGTGGTATTATATACTATGTTCGTACCTTATTATTCAACCAACTAAGAAAATATAAAATAACTAAAATATACAGTTTATCATATTACATCTCTTCAGTATAACTAGTTATATCTATGCCTTTTTTTATTTGCATTTCATTACTGCTTCGAATGATGATAGCAATTACATTGTTAATTTTTCTGTTGTCCTATTCTGTATTTAAACAGTGAGTACAGGTATATATTTTTTTCTATAGGTATCTCCAAAAAAAAATTATATAAAGTAATATTGTTTACTTTAATTATGTGCTCAGTCATAAAAAGAGATATTCGTACATCATTGAACAAACTAACTGCAAGAAAAAAAAATGTATTTTCAATCTTAAATATCATTAATATTTGCAGTGACGTTTGTAAAAGGGGTGTTGCGTTTCGTTTAACTAAAACAATTTGCGAACAATTTAGTTACGGCATTGTTGTGCGCCCCTCTAGTCGCTAAATCGAAATCAGCTGTGCCCTATTGACACTTGTTCTGATATTTTAGAGTTCCGTGGCAAATTGATGAAACAATTGACTATAATAATTGAATTCACTGCTATTTTCGCCATTTATTGGTTGTTTTAATACTGATAAATCAAAAGGTATTTTTAATAGATGATAATTGGAATGCTGCACCCGCCTGCCCTGACGGTAGGTAGATATATACTGGCGGGGCGTCAGTGGAGGAACAGTATGAAGTCAGGTCAGTTTGCCCTTCGTCGCGAAATTACTAGAACTGAATACGATAGTTTCTAAAAGGCAACAGCGTGATTCTAATAATTAGCCACTTTTTCACATTATCAAATTATCTGTCTTAAAGCGTATTTCTATTTACCAATTTATTATCTGTTTATATCAATAAAAAATAATAATCGAATATTACATAGGGTCATACAAACCATCAAGCCAAAATTTGTATTAATAAAAGTACACTTAAAAATCAATAACTGATAAAAAATTTCTTATACTTTGAGCATTGAAGGACAATGATGTTAATGCATTGCGCATTGTAAAGGAAAGATTTGTTCTCTTTTTCTTTATTAATTTTCACAGCACCGATCATAACCAATACTATTATATTATTCTGAATAGCATAAGAAAATAGAAAGTGCTGTTATTGAGGTAAACGTTTCTGAACGTAAATATTAACTTGTCAAATTTCCCGCCAATCGGCCATATTGTTCGCGCCACCGCGGGACGTTATTGTGCATGTAATGAAAAGGAAATTAATAGTTACGAGTACAATCCATTTCATTTGTTGTGATTGAAGATTTCTATGCGCTTAGAAATAAGGATGAAACTCCTAATATTAATATTTCTTATTACAGACGAATGACAAGGAAGTGAATGGTAGGTAGTTATGTTTATAAAATACTATACGTACCTAGGCTTTCACGTCCTAATGATTCAATATAAATTAATTTTGTAATTAGAATAATTATTTTATGTACAATATAAATCATGTAGGTATAACTTAAATAACGTTAACGGTATATTAGCGACTATTAAAATATTTTGCTACTTAAATTATTTATACAATTGTAAGATTTTATTTAAATTAGTTAAGTATTACCTATAAAATCTAAAGTATAATGCTCAATACCTACTAGAAATAATAAATAAATACATATTAAAGACTTCGTCTGTCTGAATTTTTGCTATATTCTTACATCAGTGGATAAGCCAGCAACGTGCTACCGAGAAAATTAGTTTAGTAGCTCAACGGAGCTAAGAAAGTTGCAACAAAGTCTTATTATTTTTTTCATCAAGTTTATATTTTAGGTTATCATTATTGAAAATAACCCTCTTTGCTAAATATGTAAAAAGTTATTAGTTTTCTCATATTTACATTTTTCTTTGATTAACACTATGTAATAGGTACTAATGAAATCATTTTAAATTTACTCTTTAAATGAAGGGAATTTATATTCTTATGTTCATGAGATACAATATATACTTACATAACAATATTAATTTATATAAATACTTATAGCTATGTATATAATGGCAATGAATATACTATAATACGTAAATGTCATTCTCCCTTTATATTCGGAATTAGTTGGTACAAAAATTATAATAAAAAATATTAAGAATTCACAGAATTGATAAATTTTATGTATTTTGTTTCTTCGCTTTTTGGTAGCTCTGGAAAATATTGTCTTTCATTCAGTGAGGTAGAATTTTTGTGTCAGTATGTCAGTGCGCTTAGACTGTATATTCGTATAAACATAGATATAACCATCTACATTTTAGACTATCTGTATACCACCACCACCACCACCATATCAATATTTGAAGTGAGTTTATGGAATTTAATATAATTAGTTATTGCTTCTAGGTACACACGAATATATTTGCAGCAGAAAATATGAGCAATAATCCGTCTGTAAAGTAATTCGTCATTATTATCTTTTAAAAAGAAGTCGGTACATCCCGTGCTTACTCTATTATTCATATTCCGTGATATGTAGGAAATACTATAAGTATTAATAATATCAGCATTTAATATAATGTATTATATCAACTATCTACTAGTGAGCCCAAAGCAAACAGACATCAAAGCTGAACTACCAGACGCTGTCTGCACAAGAAATTCGTTTGTTAGCAAAACCAATGAAGACATCTTGACTGAAATTAACACCGAAGCATAAACAAGTTTCAGCTGAACATTACACACATAAACAAAATTGCAAATTACACACATAAACCATCCAATCACTGCCTAATGCGTTATATATACAATCGTAAGAATAATCATACAATCAAATTAACTAACTTCATTGGATCTACCTCTCCCTTCTAATTCTGTTCAAAGACAGACGTTCGAGACGTAACACAAGATGTGTTTAGGGATCTCGATAAAATGGATGGTTCAGCGGACACCTTAAGTCCAAAGCAGTGACTGCAATTAGTACAATTAGTAAGGCCCAATTAGGTGCTTTAACGAAGCGAGTTTCGCAACCAGCCAGAGTTTGGTGACAAATACAACGTTTGACGTCTGACCCGGGATTTGTATCAACATTGATACCAAAGGCTTTGCTTGTGCCGGATGAAGCCAACTAATTTATGTCTGAGTAAACAAAACAAGTACCATGTAGAGAACAGTTATTATGTTAAATCAGTGTCATGAATTTGAAAATGTGTTTTAAGTCATCTAGAACAATTATGATTCAAATGTAATTAGATAGTAAATCGCTGCTATCTATTGATATTTTAGCTAAATAAAGTCACAAAATATATTTCTGATTAACCTGTGCAAATCTTGTAAATGAGTTCTTAGCATATCTTTTCGTCATTTCTAACTTGAGTTCTTTTTTTCGCAGAAACATGTCATCTAAACGGAAGTCACCGCCATCGAAATTGCAAGAAGGAGTCCCCGAAACCGTAAAACAAGAAGCGGGTCCCGCCAATTTGGATTTCCCAGACCAGCCTGAATCTGACCCTGAGCACCAGAATTATTACAAATTCTCCCCTAGCCCTTCAACAAGAAGTTCTATAAGTGAAGAAGATCCAACAAATTACGACGACGAAAGACCAACAAAAAAACAGAGATTAGAAACTTTAGACATGACAAACAATCTACTAGTCCCATCATCTTTCCTTAGTCTTCATCAGGTCAATGACCTGCAGGCACGAAGACGTGGCTCCTCAGAATGCAGCAGTCCTGGTGCTGAAGCAAAAGTTTTAGGACTCTGTAACAATAATAATTCATTGTTGAATCACAATAGTGCATTGTCATTAGCTCCACCTCACAAGCGATCTATGGATGATGTCCTTAAAAGATTAACGTCAAAGATGAATAATAGCACAATAAAAGAAGAGAAGAGGCCCACACCGTCTACTACACCAGTCAAGCAGAACAAGTAAGTGAAATTGTATTTTAATATTAACTTAAAATCTATAATATTACTATATACTAAACTATAAATGATTAACATTAATAATTTGATTTGAATTTGGTTAACTGCGAAATGTTTAAATTGTATAAAAAATACCTTTCATGTCGTCTACGTACATATATCTACCGCCATGTAGCTTTTTTAGTTGTTTCTCATTTTGACGGAAGTGATATGGTGATACGGAATGACACAGTGATGTACGTGTTGACAGTAGCTATATACCAGGTAGGTACTACCAGGTGAAGCTGAGCCAACATGTCATTCCAGTTATATAATCACGAATTTATATTTGTTGTTTCCGCTTCTATCTTGACGTTATGGTATCAAGATTGATACCTTTTATTAACTTAATTAACAATATGTAATTAATCTTTGCTCTACATTATTGGCAATTTCCGATATAGATTAATCTATGTTTTGTCTCATTATGTTTACATACTGATACGGAAATCATTCTGATAATAATTATGTAGTTTGTTATTATAACTAGTACCCTTAACATATTCTTCAGGTTAGATAACGGGCTCGGATATCATCAGCTTTTATTACTAAATGTATGTATGTTCTATTATAGATATACTTACATGGTATCTGTAACCAACTATGTTGATCCACAGCTTATGTACTTGTTCATGTTTCTACATTACATACATGCTGAAATTTCTTTTTCATGTGTTGTGTGACTATGTTCCATAGTTTGCTACCCTGGTATCAACATTTGATTCTCAAAACATCTTCAGTGTATAACCATTACGTCTTATTGACGTAACTTTAATTGCCAGTGGACAAGTTAAACTGTGGTTACGCAGTAAAATAAAGCGGCGACAGTACGTGACTATTCCTGCCTTGGTCGTTTAACCAGAATTTAATTGGTCGTATTATAGCTCATTAAAAACAAAGTTAAGAGTATGTGCACCGCAAGTTCACTATAAAATCATTATATGGTGGTTTTACTATTATTTTATAGATATTTTGGTTTTAACGCTATTTGTCCACGGTACTTCATTGCGATCATAAAATGCTCAGATAATATCAAAATTTAGAAAATGTGCATCACTAAAATATTGATATGCGATGTAATGGGCAGTTAAACAATAGATGTTAATATATATTGCACATTACACGTGCTTCCTTACTACCTATTACATTTTTATGTTACTTTAACAGATTAATATTTAGAATATTTATTTTCGAATATTTGGAATAATATGTAAGTTAGGCCCACCTGATAGAAATGAATTTGGGATTATAGTTGTTGTAATGTATTCAAGGTCAGTTCTAGGTAATCGGTGTACTGTATTAAAATCTGCATACATCATGAAACTCAGCGACATAAAAAACAGTAAAAATTCTATTTATCAGTATATATTATTTACTTTAAATTAATGGTAGAAAACAATAACATAAAATTCCAAAAAATCTAATAAATTTTCATTATACGATATACGGTTAAACGGTAGTATAAAATTTGTTTAATTATAAGTCTTCATAATATGTTTTAATGCATCTTGAATAGGTACATACATAGCTTATATGATGGTTATCTTTCTTATCATACTGTTGATTGCAATTCCTTGTAAGTATCTATAGATATTATTCTATTATATCTGTATGTACGTTCACTTCAAAATAAAACGTTTGCTAACGGACTGTAAATTTATTCGCTTCATAAACTTTCATTTGCTGTAAATTATTTTGGTCCCTAGTAAACATACTGTTTGCACATTAAATGCATAAATATAACACTGCTTAGTATCCAGTACTTAATATTAGTTTAGAAATAGTATACAATATTTCTTCATTGATATCCTAGAATCTATCCTTTTGCTAGCGTCTGTGGTATATTTTTGTCTAACGTACATATATCTGTCACTAAACAGTTTACTTCTCAAAGTGTGTTCCGGTTAGAAGCGTAAGATACCACAGTAAATTATCTCTACCCAGATTTAAGGTCTAGCTAACTGTTTGTGAACTTAGGATCATTGACTATCTTATCTCGCATTGGAAAACAGTTTAACGCTGAATTAATACTGCAACTAGCTGACAATAAAGATGTAAACGATATCATATGACATGACGATCTATATGGTCTAGTGATTTAGGATACTGCTTTTATATCAGAGAATCGTGGGTTTGATCTCCGTATGCTATGTAATATTTGTATTTAAGAGTAATATTGTGTTAGTCTGGGGTAACTTATTTACTTATATATTACGTATAAAAAAACTTTTACTCAATATTTATGGTACTTAAAGGGGCAGTATGAGTGGTTCTGTGTTAACATCTAAAACTAAAGGAGATGAGCTACTTTAGTAATAATCAAACTAGTAAAAAACTATAAATTATTGGTTATGTTTACAATATTTAATTTAATAAATAGTCAAACTATTTTAGTACGACTAGTTTGTCTTTCTCTATTTTTAAGTAAATACTAATTAATATTTTGACGTTCATTACTAAAGTTTGGTAGTCACTTTTTAAAACTTTTTTTCCGTGTTTTTGTTTATCTATGCTAATATTAGAAAAAGATAAATTTCTAAATCTACTGAACCGATTTATATTTTTTTTTAGTATTGGATAGCCCATTTATCGAGGAATACTATAGGGTAAATAACATCACGCTACGACCAATAGGAGCGGAGCTGCAATGAAAAGTGTAATAAAAACTGGCGAAATGTAACAGATCAGCTGTTTTTATATACCTTCCTATATTAAGTAACTGACAATACTATGTAGATAAGCATTGTTACAACAATCAAATCCAAAGTCTGCCTAATTAGTATAATTGCACCGACATAATGTACAATGAACCAACCGCCGTGTTTATTGTTAGGACCATGTTAATGTTACACAGTAACAACTGTTAATTATAATAACAAGATGAGATTAGACGGCGTTATGTGGGCAATTTACAGGGTAATGTAAGACACTTTGTTACAGCAAAGAGTTATTTATGCGGTTGTGTTCAGGAGATTTTCTTGTTTTGAACCCGTGGCACTTACATATATGCTTGAGTGTCGGAACAATTTCATGGAAGTAAAGTACTCTGTACATATACACGTGTAACGTACTGTTATAATTATTTTTTATATTTGGTAATGGTAATTATATAGTGCACCCACCGACAACAATGATATGGTGGGTGGGACAGGTTGCAGGATGAATAAATGAGTATGAAATCAGATCAGCCAATCGTAGCGAATTCATAGGAAATTTTACCGATGTAGATTTTACATAAAGTCGACTGCCTAAGTTTCTCTGTCTCACTTATTTTAGTCTCCAAGCTTTAGCATTACAATATATGTTGCGGTTGAATGGTAAGATTTGGTAATATTACAGTTATCATGGACTTACAATGTATTTTATGAAGTTCATATTATACTATAATAGTTATGTACGGTATACAAACAACAGTTATCACCTTTCCTCAAGTGGTACAGTTACTGATTTTCCATTCCAATGACACAAACTTCTTAGTATTCCCTGGATACACCGTACGGGAGCCAGGTCCATTGTATGACAGAAAGGGAAACTTCGAGCAGTTCCAGGGACTTGTGATGCAAGTGTAGGTTTAACGGCCTCTTGCTGACATACGTCAACAGTCACCACCGCTCGTGTTTCCCTGCCCAGCCAAATCTGGTAGAGGCCTGCTAGAAAATACTGCTGTTCTAGGCAGACAGATTATTTAGAAGATTGTAAAAAAAATATTCTGAGCATCATTTTAAAATTCCATATTATGACTAGAAATAAGTATTTTTGTTGTATTTTTTATAAGTAACGGACGCCCAAATGTCTAGTTTCTCATACGAATCTCACCATATATACTATTAAAAAATATTAATTGATTAAAATGTGCTATCTAACAAGAATCGACAGGGATTTAAAATATATTAATTGTCTAAATGGATGTTTTATCGTCAAATTAACTTGCTTCTAATTGAGAGAAACTAGTTTGTTTTAATACTGTTAGTTCGGTAGATATATTTCGTATTCATAATCATATTGGCTAATGAACTAGAATTGATTTCTATAATCTTATTAAGTCTGTTTATGAGGTCATCTGATTATGTCTATTTCTTTTTAGGGTTCTCTAGACTCTAACTATAATCAATAAAACCTCAATAGAGAAATAAAATTAATATCATTATTCATATTATATTGAATACTAAAGTTTCTAACTAAGCAACAATTCACACAGCGTCATCTAGTCAAAATAAGCAGAACTTATGTTATGTTTACTAGACAATTGATGTAAATGATAATCTTTTTTTGTAAATTGGGATCGTTAGCAACGTGGACTAATACCCTCGTTGATAATCGTCAATGTACGGTTGGCTTCCCCACGGAAACCATCGTGATAGATTCGATCTTATCTACTGACGTGACCTCATGTTCATCTAATTCTTCTCCACTGTTACCTCGCCAGCGTAAACCATTAGCGCAGGCCGGTGCACCATTCTATTATCGTACTTTAAAAATATTTATACATTTGAGTATACCTATTTCTATTTGTATATTAGATCTGTGGCACAACCTCATTTAGAATGGAACCGAACGAGTAAGGACAAAGGTGGCTATTAGTTCAGTTCACAATAAAATTAGATACAGATAACGTATAATAATAGAGATAATAGTAAAGGTTAAGGCGGTGTCAAACTGTGAGATGTCAATATTTGTATTTTGCGAGCATCTCATTATCTTGGTAATTAATAGCATTGATAGTGATCATTGTCGCGGATGCTGTAGCTTATAGTTACTATGGTATACATTGTTTATTATGCTTATATATATAAATATATCTTATATATAAAATTCTCGTGTCACAATGTTAGTTATTATACTCCGCCGAAACTAGACCGATTTTATGAAATTTTATACTTATGCATATCCAGTAGGTCTGAGAATCAGTTTACCACCTATCTATTTTTCATACCTACATAGTAATAATGGTTGTCCACCCCTAA